GCAGCACCTTGGGCTTGCAGATGGAGGAATAACACTTTTCCCCAGGCTCTAGGAGACTTATGGGTGTCTGCAGGTGAACAGGCCTTTAGCCTTGAGCAATTCCTAGTAACAGGTGAACCTAGCCCTAAGCTCAGGAAGGAATCAGGTGCTAGGGCCATGGTCTGCATTTAAAGCTGTCGTTTGCACCAGTGCCAACTTGTCTGTGTCTCCTCATCTGTAGGATGAGTGTGACAGTAGGCACTAAGGTTGGGGCTCTTGAGTACTGTGGACCCTTGAGATTGTGCTGCACTGGTTTCAAGTCCACGTTCAGGGCTAGTTAACTGGAGGATTCGTCCATTTCTAGCTCCATGTTTCTCATGTGTGGAATCAGTTGTGTGGGAAAGGCAGCTGCTCTCAGCTGAGGAGGCCTCAGGGCTTCTTTAGTCCTGTCCCTAGGTCTTCTGCAGCCAGCACCCAGCTCTGGTGTCCATGTAAAAGACAGAGATGAGTACCGTCTGCCATCCTGAGCCTGCTTCCAGGCCAGGCACAGCTGTGTGAGTGGTGTTCTGGAACCTCTGAGCCTTTCAGTCACCTGCCCTGACTCTTACCTGTGAGGGTGGCTGTAGTGCCCTGAGGCCTGTATGTGTGTCTTCAAGGTGAACTCAGAGGAAATGCAAACCCTGTGAGACTCCTTCCTAGAGGGATGAGAGGTGCCAAGGCTCTGCACCGGAGGGTAGAGGGACCTTTCCTCTGTGGGTCTCTGTCTCATTATCTGTGAAACAGGAATTCTCAGGTGTCTGGCAGCAATGCAGGTTTGGAACACTGCAGCTGCAGAGGCCTGCTGTCTTAGAAGAAGCAAAGTTTTAGTCATGCACAAGTGTTGATTCAGTGCTTTGTGCAAATGTTCATGGCTCTTGGGTAGATAGCCCACCCCACCTCACCTCTAAAACCAGTGTGCATCTCCCCTCCTCACGGTGGTGGCATCCACCTGGCTCTTGGTGGCATTCAAGATTATATTCAGGAGGGCACTGCATGAAAGAGATACCTGGGCACCTTGACTCACCCCTGTCTCTTGCAGGGTAGTGGGACATCAGGAACCCGCATAGGCCCAGAACAGCCCCAGCCAAGCCCCTCCTGTGCACCCCATAACGTTTACAAAGAGGGCTGCTCCTCAGTTCTGGTTTATCTGCTAAGGGACCTGTGGCAGCTGAGAGTCCCTGTACATGGTCTCCTTCCTCTTCAGCCTCACTGTCCCTGCTGTGGGTAGCTCAGTCCTGTGCTGGAAAACAGAGAGCCAGAGGCTACAGACTGGCCAGTAGGGCCGTGCCAACCCCACTGGGTAACATTAGATTGGAGGAGACCCCAAGGCTACCAAACAGAGAGCTCAGGGGCTGAGGCCCAGCCAATAGCCTAGCATGGCATCCTGCCTCGTTAGCTGGGCCAAGTTCTGTGGCCACACAGACCGTGTTTGTAAAAACATGGCACAGAAGCACCAGTCTCACAAATTATGGTAATGAGAGGAAAATGTGTAGAAGTACTACATACATGAATGAAACCATTTTCAACAGGGTTCTAAAATAACTTGGTTGAGACTGGTGGTGTGGTTTGCTGGTTAAGTGCACTGCCTCCCAGCCTGAAGATCTGCCCTCAGGTCCCCAGAACCCACTAGCACAGAGCTAGCAGACAAAGTCCAACCTGAGTGCCTTTTCCTCACGGGATGAATGGAGGTTTGTCAGCCCTGCAGAGCTAGGCAGAGACTTACTCATTCAATGGGTATTGATCATTACCTATACACCAGGTCCTATTCTGGGCCCTGGAGAATTATCAGTAAACAGTAGAAAGTACGGTGGCTGCCCTCTTGGGACTTCTTGAGATTTATGAAGAAGTTAGTTCTGATATAGGTTACTTTATCTTTGTGAATACATGAAACACACACACACACACACACACACACACACCCTTGTGAGTGTGACCATGGAGAGGGGTCTGCCAGTGGTGGAGAACCTGCCTGGACCATTTCTACAGCCCTTCCCTATGTAGGTTGTTATCAGCCCTGGTTAGCAGATGAGGCAGCTGAGCTTAGAGGAGTTTAAAAATACTCCCAGCAG